ATGGAATACCTGTGTTCGACATAAAATGTTATGAGAAAGGTAATTTCATTTTGAAGGTATTTAAAACATGGAAGGAATGTCAAAGATATCTATTATCAGGATGAAAACTGATTGGAAGAGTGTTTATGTAAAAATGAAGTGTATGTTAGTCGAAACACTAAAATCGTATTACCCGGAATATTGTTACGAAACAAAAGATTCGGAAGTCCGTGGTGCCAAGGAAAAAATGTTTTTTCTTTGTGCATGCGGAAAAGTCTGACAAGGTAATGAACAAAAAACGGTAACAATGTTACTAGGGAGTTGGTTTTATTAATAGTAAATTGTCTTAAAGTAACGTCGTGGCCAACGGACTCTTCTACCGGATCTTGTGGTCCTGCTACCATCGCTAGTATTGGGTGATTCCGATGCCGTTGTTTCTGTTTCGACGGTGGTTTTCGGTGTTTCCGGTTGCTTCACTGTGGGTTCAGACTTGATATCCGTGACATCTGGTTCCATAAAATCTGGCTTGATTCTGTCAATGCTGACCGTGTCTCGTCTGCTTGAGCGTTCGACCGTGACAACTTTGTCTGATTTACTAATTACCTTGAAAAATCCTTCATACGGGGGCTGTAAGGGTTTTCGTTCGCCGTCGTGTCGGACAAAAACGTGAGTGCAGTTTGAGATGCACTGAGGTACGTAAACTTGGTTGTCTCGGTATCGTGGAGACTGAGGTCGTAGTGTGCTCATGTGTCGCCATAGCTGTTGTACATAGTTAGTCAAGTCCGGTGGAACGTCTGTTGCTGGGTTAAAATACTCTCCTGGCAATCGTAGAGTAGTTCCATAAACTAACTCAGCAGTACAGCAGCCAATGTCCTGCTTGACACTCGAACGTATACCAAGGAGTACTAGTGGTAATTTGTCACTCCACTTGTCATCAGTCTTTACTGCCATCAGTGCTGCTTTTAGTTGTCGATGGAACCTTTCAACAATACCATTGGATGCAGGATGGTACGCAGTGGTTCTTATGCGCTTGATCCTGAGAAGTTCAGTTAACTGTTGAAATAGACTACTCTCGAACTGTGCACCTCTATCTGTGGTGATGAAACTTGGGACACCAAAGTTAGAAATCCAGTGTTGGATGATATTTCTCGCTACTGTTTCGGCAGACATATCCTGCAGAGGTATTGTCACTGGCCATCTCGTGAATCAGTCTACTCATGTTAAAATGTAGCCAAAACCATTTGACGGGGTAGTGGTCCAACGATGTCAACGTGTGTATGGTCAAATCTACCATCTGCTGCGGAAAATCTTCTAGTAGGCGAAAGAATATATCTCTACACTTTTGGTTGATGGCACGCTAAACAAGCTCTAAGCCACTGTCTAAGATCTCGATCCATACTTGGCCAGACGTCTCGGTCAGTAATTAACTTCACTGTGGCTTGAATATCAGGGCGATAAATGCCATGCATCTTAGAGAAGACTAATCGTCTCATTGATAAAGGCACAAACAGGCGCGGTTTATCCTTGGATACATCACAGGTGATGGATACAGAGTCATCAAGTGTCACTTCTTCTAGACGTAATGAGGTGTTCACATTGTCTTTCAAATGTTTCAAGTCCTCATCCGTCGCCTGCAACTTTGCCATTTCTGCTAGGTCAATACGGTCACGTTCTAAGACGTTTACGTACATACGAGACAAAGCATCAGCTGCCTCATTCTTGCTGCCTTTGACATACCTTATATCTGAAGTGAATTGTGAAATAAATTCTAAATGTCGAATTTCTCGGGCGAGTAGTTGTCATGCTTTGCATCAATTGCTTTCGTGAGTGGCTTATGGTCGGTAAATACTATAAATGCGTACCCTTCGAGCATATATCTGAAATGCTTGATAGCCAAGTAAATCGCCAGTAGCTCTCTGCCGAATGTACTGTATCGCGATTGAGAAGCATTAAGTCGTTTCGAGAAGAAAGATAATGGTTCCCACTGACCGTGAACAAACTGTTGTAGTACTGCGCCTACCGCAACATTTGAAGCGTCTGTCATGATTGCTAGTGGTGCTTCTGAATCACGACGAGAGAGAAGAGTTTCAGAACTTAGAGCCAGCTTCAGTTTGTCAAAAGCATCATGGGCCGCTTGGGTCATGTGAAACACTTTGGCTCGTCCTTGCAATAAATCTGTCAGCGGTTGGGCTACTTCAGCACATTTAGGTATGAAACGTCGATAGAAGTTTATTAACCCCAGAAATCTTCGCAGCTTTCGAAACGAGTCTGGAACAGGATATTCTCGAATTGCATCTACTTCTTGCGGAACCGGTTTAACACCGTTGGCATTAACAATGTGACCCAAAAACTGTAGGGATTCCTTGCCAAATTCGCATTTCTGCGGATTGATTGTAATGCCATATTCACGCAGTCGTTCGAAAAGCGTCCTCAGATGTTGCAGGTGCTCTGTTTCAGATGCGCTAGCTACTATTAAGTCATCTATGTATGCACTGACGAAAGGTAAGCCATGGAGTACCTGATCTATAAATCTTTGGAATGTTTGAGCAGCATTTGTCAAACCAAACGGCATACGAATAAATTCGAATAGTCCGAAGGGGTAGTGATGGCCGTCTTAGGAACATCATTGGGTTCCACAGGAATGTGATAGTAAGCTCTCACGAGGTCAATCTTGGAAAAAATATTTACTTTTGTCATAGAGTTCATAAAATCATGTATGTGAGGAATTGGATACTTATCAGGGACCGTACGCTTATTCAACGCTCGATAATCACCGCAAGGCCGTATTTCCCCTGATGCTTTTTTAGGTACCATATGCAGGGGTGATGACCATGGGCTTCTGGAAGGGCGTATAACTCCCAACTTTAGAAGTTTATCAAATTCCTGTTTTGCTATCTGCAGCTTTTAGGGTCTAAGCGTCGAGGTTTTGATGAGACTGGAGGACCTTTTGTAAGAATATGGTGCGTCACCGTGTGTTTTGGAGAGGACTTCGTGTAATCCGTTTGAGTGAGCTCGGGAAATTTTCTCAGAAGGATATCGTACTCGGAAGTGTTGTTTATTGGAGCTACGACTAGGTTTATTGTTTTTTCCCCGTAACGATACAAGCGACAAAAAATTCACCATTACGGCTGACTAGTCTATGGCGACTAGAGTCGACCAATAGTTCGTACCGTTGGAGGAAATCCATGCCAATGATAGGCGACGATATGTCAGCGATGACGAATTCCCACTGGATCAAAATTCTGGTTGCATATTGTAGTAATAGCAGATCTATTTGCCGCTTGTAGTACCAAGGTCAACCAGAAACTGTGCTCCGGTCTTCCTATCCGTCACTCGAAACAAACGACTGTGTTGTTGTACGCCGGCGACAACAGTCGTCACTGATCGCCGGTCTTTCCGTTTCCCGTTGAAAAGGTTTTAAAATCGCATGGTAACAAACAATGACGTGCTTTACTGCCAAACTTCCTGTGACACCAGCACGTGCTACTTTCAGAGACAATTCTACTCGTGGTCCTATCACAACTACGGGATCTGCTTCTATAGAACTTCAGTGACCGTCGGTTTAACTGCAAAGCCGTCAGTTGTCCTGTAAGTATGTCAATCTTCCTCTCTGAAGCAGCTACTTGGTCGTTTTGCGTTGGCTCAGCCATACTTTCAACCGGTTTAGGCATCTTTTCGTACATACGGTCAGCAATGTCAGCTAACCTATCAGTGTCATTGTCCACATCTCCGACAGCTAGTATCTGCTGAATACATGAAGGAAGTCTCCGCAGATAGAGCTGGTAGAATAAACGGTTGTCTACGTTCTTATCTTTCAGCAGACTTTGCTTATATGCTTATATGTTGTGAAGATGTCCTGTCACCGAGGCATATGCTACTTAGTAGTTGATCGACAGCCTTCTGGTCAGATAATGAAGTATCTTTCAGCACCTCCTGCTTCAAAACATCTTGGTGGAGCTTTAATAGTGTCTCCCTTACTTGTTCAGCCACTTCTTCCGGCAAAACAGAGCTTTTGTATTCGAACTGTGCATTTTGTGAAGTTATATGATTGGCCAAGAAGAAATGTTCTAGACGGACAAACCACGATTGCTGGTCATTAAACTTAAAACAAGGCATAGGAAGATTAATGGCACCGACGGACCCAACATTCGAAAAGTCTTGATTATGACAGTTTAAAAGTACTGGTACAGCAATAAAAATAATTTCTAAGGACTTAAAATAACAAGAGTAGGTAAAATACAATGAACAAGTATGTCATTGCCTACCACAAAGCAGCTGGAGATATTCTCAGTATATATATATATATATATATATATATATATATATATATATATATATATATATATATATATATATACATCGGGCTCACCGGTTTGTCGAGCTCTGAAATCTCACTCCAAATTTATATACACGTCTAGATAGACCATCGCCTGTTAATAATTCCCGACACTGCCGATCCACCTGCGTCAGACAGTTAAAGCGAAGTTTATATCAGGATGTTGTATTGGTCAACGAGCGAGCAAATAGACTGTTTTTATCAGTACAACTAAACAAAAAATGTTCAATGAGTTGTTACATATATCCAAACAATACAGTGAAATGAAATGATAACATTTGAGCCTTATTTTACTGCTCTAAATCAATTAGTTCTTTTTTCAATGACTCCTTTTCCACTTCATTTACTTCACCACCACTGATTGCATCATGTGTATAGTGACTGAGCTAGTTTCTGATGTAACTGTTTGACATTTTCCCAGTTATACGGCTTGATAATGAAGTCATTGAAGAGAAATGTTTTTTCTCCGATATACAAACATCTTATCCTTCGTTTTTGTTACTTGTAAGTTTGGATTCATCAGGGACGAATGCCAGTTGGAGACCTATTGGAAACCTGAGAGCATTGGATAGCTTTTTTGTCATAGGAAGTTTGATTCGAGCTTCTTCAAAGAAATATTGAAAATCACAGTATATTACAACACATCGGTCACATTTTATTCATAATTTATTAATTCTACATTCAGGGTGGAATTACATTCTTCGCGCTGCAACGATTTCGACTCGGTCAAGTTAATCTCAACTCTGAAGATGGGCTAGGTGAACAAGGGGGAACCATGGATCCAAATGCTACTGTTCCAGGTCAAGCATATCCTGGTATGACTGATCTTATGACTCAGCAACAGCAGCAACAACAACCTTATGGTGGGAATATGCAACAACCACCTGTAGGCGGTGTTGGTGGTGGTCAGTACTATCGACCTACATACTGATGTGGTCAATATTATGAAAACTTCTGACGAAAGAAAGTGATCAGAACAATGTGGCGTTTAGTTCTTGATCGTATTTCACTTGATGTTTTTCGATTGGAAAGCTGCGAATCTACTCCTTGTGTGTGTGCAAATGTGTACTTGTGCTTGTTGTTACTGTTGTTTTCGGTGTTGTTATCATTACCTATCATTCCATTAACTATGATTATTATTATTATGATTATTGTCATTACTATCGTTACTTTGTGTTTTGCTTTTCCACTGAAACTACTTGCCATTTTCATTTATGTTTCCCTCGTTGCATAATGCTAATCCATGTGTTTCACTTAAACAAGTTCTGAATTAACTGAAGAGAATTAAAATCGTGATTGAAAGCGTCTTCTTCTTTTTTTCTCTCTTTTTTTCTGTGTAATTCACTAGCCAGTTAATGAAAAGGAAAGCTGTGATTTTTATCATTTATATCCTTCTTCTGTCCAACATTCCTTCTTCAACATTGAGAAACAACATTCGTGTGTGCATTTACATTTAAAATAATTTTCATACAATATTTATAGATGCATAAACATATTAAGCAGTCATGACAATATTGGTGTTCTCTTTCGTCAATATCCTTCTAGTTGTATTTGAATTGCATTTAGCATAATATTTGAATTTATCCTATACTTATACATACATATATATCTGCAAGTATATACTACTGACTAAATAAATAAGTAATCAAATAAGACTTCTAGTGATCTGTGGTTTTTTTAATTATTTTTACTCATGGCTTGTAAATAAAGCAAGTGTAGTTGAAGTGTGGAACTTGACACTTTGTCTCTATTGGTTATACTATTTGTTAAGAAAATATTTTATGCACACATCAATCCATCAGCTTAGACAGCAAGTGGATAGACAATAGGTCAAAGAATATAGAAACTAAATGCTCTGTAAACTAGCGAATCCAGCGGAAGTATTTATCAAATCTCAATATTCACAGCATGAATTTCACAGTTTCACCGAAATGAATAGGTGATGTCAAAGGATTGTTGACAATTGCTTTTTATATGAATGCATCAGAAAATTTAAATCCACAGTCCTAGACATATACAGGAGTTTTGGTTGATGAGGTGCATTATCCAATTTCGGGCAGTAACACGATTTTACAATACTAGAAGTAGACATATTAAAAGTTTGGTAGTTCTTGAAAAGTAAGAAGTTGGAGAGACTGCTGAAAACAAAATGTTGATGACAAAAGGAGGTAAGGCCTAGAAACAAAGAGGCATAGTGACGACAAGACGTGCACCATTGAGCAGTCGTCTAGGTTGTAACACCCTACATTAGCACATCAATGCTATTATTACTACTAATATTTGTTCCTTGGGTTCCTAGTGGAAAATACAGCTTCAGTAGCACAAAGCTATTTCATTCTGTTCTCTGAGTAGGTTCAAAAGACTCCAGAGAGTCTTTTGAACTCGTCTCCACCACTGCCCACAAGCTTTCATTTCTTCCTCGCACCATCTCCATGTCACCCTCGGATGCCCGACTCACCGTCCCCCCTATGGGTTCCACCCGACGGCCTGGCCTAGTGCATGATGTTTCCAAACGGTCTTCTCGGTGTATGTTCAATCCAATTCATCTCCACTTTCTTCTACATATTTGTTGGTTGGTTCGTTACCAGCCAGAGTTTTTTGATGCTTATTCTTTCTGGCCATCTGATCTCATCTTCAGTATTGAGTGGGCGTAGACGGCAGCTGTTGATGAATGTCAGTAGTCTGTTGGAAATGCTTTTCGTAACGCGCCAAGTCTCTGGATCATATAGAAGCACTGACTTGACCGTGGTGTTGAAAATCCGGATCTTCTTCACGTTTTATGCTGAGTGCAGTAGATCTCCACGATGGTTTCAGGTTAATGAAGGTCTGTCTTGCTTTTCCGAACTTGGGTCGCCTTGACATCCTCATCTGTGCCACTGCCTGTAGTTGAACCGATGCTGCCTGTAGATCTTTGAGTTTGTGCAATATTAGACATAAACCATCATCCGTGAAATCCAAATCTTCTAATCTCTTTTCATCGGTCAAACAGCGTACGCCCACCTTATAGCAGCTCCTCACAGTCTCTTACATGATCTAGTTGATTACAATCAGGAAGATGATCAGTGATAGTAGACAACCTTGTCTTACTCCTGTCTTCACTTCACTTCAAAGGAATCACTGAGATTTCCATTCTGAATCGCTTGGCATGTGGCGTCTTCATATAGATGTTGAGTGCGGTTGATAAAGGTTTGTGGCACTTAAGCCGTAGTGTTGAAGCAGTTGCCAAATCACTTCTCGGTCGACGCTGTCGATGATGATGCGTAAAGTTGCAATTTGATCCACACATGATTTGTTCTTCCTGAAGCCAGCCTGTTCCGGCAGTAATTTTGAATCCAGAGCGTTTGTTAGTCTCTCCAGGATGATGCGGCTTGATACTTTGCTTGGGGTGAACAGAGGTGGAGCATGATTCCGCACCAGTTCTTGCAAAAGTTTAGGTTGCCCTTCTTTGGCATTTTAACAAGGCAGCCCTTCTTCCAGTCTGCAGGTAACTTTCCTTCCTTCCAAACCTTCTGCAGTAGTGGTGTGAGCATGTCCGTTGTTGTCTGTGTCTGTTTTCAGTGCTTCTAGAGGGATTCTATCGAACTTGCTGCTTTCTCGGATTTCAGCAACTTTATGGCGTTCGGGACTTCTGCTTTTGTCAAAGGGCATGTGTTCACCGCTAGTTGTGTCTGGGCTTCTGGTGATATTTCTGGACGAGTTGCAGGTGGTGGTGTTGGTCGATCCAAGACTTTTTTGAAGTGGTCAGCCTATCGTTTCCTTTGCTTCACCTCTTTGATAACTAGGTTTCCTTCACTATCTTTCACTGATCTCATCCGCGTTGATCTCTTGCCAGATCGATAGTAACCTGGTCATTTGATATAGTGTTGTCAGGTCTTTCCCACTTGCAGCCTGTTCTGCTTCACTTGTCAATGCGTCGTAGAAATGTCTTTTGTATACCTTCTCATTTCTTTTGCAATGTGAGTAGCCTTGCCAGCCAGCTTCAAACATTGTGTGGACATCCCATGTGTCTGTTTACTTTCGCTTTCATCGACAGAGGGAAGACACAGTGGCCAACTGGCTTCAACAACCAGCATCATTTTGTCTCCCCGATTCCAGTGAGGAATAAGTTTGTTTTGTTTTTGTTTTTTATATTTTCTTTGTGCTTTGAAGTTTCTTTAGCGATTAGATTGGTTTTACGGGGTACGGTTGCTACCCCTATGCCCAACCTTCCTTCTTTACCCGGGCTTAGGACCGGCTAGTAACTAGTGAACTAGTTAACTACGCGAGGTTGTACATCAGCGTTAGAGGAACTAAATCAAAACTTAGAGAAATAAGGAAAAAAGTAGCCAGGAGTGGTATGAAATCGTAACAGGAGGAAAAGAAATAAAAAGGTAATAACGAAGTTCCGTACGACGATTAATATGAAGGTGGTGCCTACACGAATCTACAACACTGACATCGATTCTTCCTTTTGTCACCAAGATTCTCCGGACATCAATTTCATGTGTCACACAGACCGTGAATACGTTTACATTTCCGCCACAAAACTCAGACTGGCAGTCAAAGACTTTATGGTTCGATGCCATATTTCTATCTGGTTGCCTATGAACCTAAAGTTACTTCAGCCAATGTTGTGCGACGGTGACTAGGTGTGCGTAGCACACGTCCCAGTCACCTTAGTAGATGATTGCTCACAACCTCCTCATTCGAGTTACTTTTCCTATTCGAAATTCCACATCTGACTTCTACATTACTGACGTGATGGCAGGGCACTGCATCACACAGTCAATGCCAGGAAGGCAATGGTAGTCGAACATGTGAAGTCTCCTCATATCATTTACTGTAACAATTTTATTTCAGTCATATAGCAGAACACAGCAAGCTGCAGTACAGTACTTTTGACCTTTTGTAATCAAACAGATGTGAATGCAACACCGCTTACGCTGGCGAAATCCAAGCTAGCTTTCCGTATTCACGCAGAGATTACGTCGGTCGCTGATTCATCAGAGCTGATCCGACACTCTAGGTTAGTGAAATAATTAGTATACTCAGCCATCTAGCTCCCTAGTGCTACTGAAGACCAGTCCGGGAGCAATAATTTACCTAATTATATAACCTGGAATCTTAGACACTAAGTTCATCAAACTGGTTCCCTTGTGTTTATTACAGGATGATTTATCTACTTTCAGGAAGAATCTGGAGGAAGGAATCGTAACTGTTTTCCATATGCTAGCTAACACTTTAGTTAGCCTGGTAAATAATCTGAGATAAACATCCTCAAATACTACTGGTACTAGCTTGACTGAGCAATGTGTTTCAGGCTGCGATCCTCTCAACTCCTATGAAAGTCGTAGGACCTGTACTAGTTTCCGATTCAGGATCCGGTCGGATACCGGGTCACCGAAAAATTACTGGTGGTCAGTTGAAATGTTCACCGAAGTGTTCTACCAATCATTTCGATCATCTCTGCGACTGAATCACAGACTCATCATTCTCTGGTGTAGTCTCACTAACCATTGACTTTTCCGCTACAGTTACCTTGACAAGTCTAAATAACTATCCACTGATAGTTATCGTCGTAGTCTTCTCTGTCTCATTTTGTAGGCGTTTCGACAGTCAAAATTTGAGTTGCTTCCGCTCCTACATGAATGCGTTTGCGTACATCCATTAGTTCAGAATAAGCTGTTGTGATGCACCAGCCCTTCATAACCTTTTCTCAAGGATGTTACAGTCTTCATCACCGTATTTACAGCGGGATGAAGATGGCTTCAGGCTTCGGCTGGTTGAATGTTATTCTGTTACGATAACTGTCTACCCAGCTTCCGGTGAAAACAGTTAGTATTCTGATCATCAAGCAGTAGTTGCAATGATCACGTCACTTTAGTCTTCCCCCAACCACTTAGATGCGAACAAATGCGTGCTCGATGACCAAATATGAACTCTAAAGCACTGGCAATCTTCCACCGACCAGCTTCAGCGATAAATGATAGAAATATGGTCCTATCTGCGTCCACTGTTGAGTTGAACTTAGTGGACGTCATGTCATAAAATATCTCTCTTTATATATAAAGTGTATGCTGGCCAGAAATAGATGACTGTCTGAACACAGACGTAGAAGGCGATCGCTGTTCTGTAAGTTCGACTGAAATCCCAAAAGTCCTACCTACTTGAAGACTGAAACCACTTGCCACGACAACCACATCTAAATGTCTAGGTTTAGGTATAAGGCTCGATATTTTCTGGTGGAACTCATCACTTACTTCCTTCGAAATGCTGTTAGTTAATGCATAAGTAAAGATTACGATAAGACAATATGAAGTTTCACTACTCTTTCTAGTCTTTACTGCCGCGGTCAATTGAACAGAGCATAGGTGATTATCAACTGGGGTCTAATCAAGCAGTCCATTTTCTGTCTTAGGATTAACGCCATAGCTATACCTGAAAGACCGTGAGCATGAGCAGCTGAGACCTCCAAAAGGTTGGAAAGTGAGTTTTGGAGATTCACGATATTGGTCAGGTGACGTCAAGTGAGTAAATACACTTCGGATCTGTGTGTGTGTGTGTGTTGCAAACATAGCATACATCAACAGTCTGAGGTGCAACGGTTTTACGCAGTAAAGCTTCTAAGTCATTCTGATGGTGTGGGGACATTGAAAGCTCCAATATGTCGTTCGGAGTGCAGTTTCAGGAGACCAGAGATGGTGATTCGTGAACCAAAATCGTTGTCAAAAGCTGTAAAGCTGGAAGAAAGTAAAGATGGTGTCGGAACATTCACTCAGTGACTTGAAGAATGTGTAAGGTTGATAATAATCTGATGGTACTTGAGCGTTAACAAAGCTGTGAGGGCAGTTGACACTTTTTAGTTACCCAAACTGTGTGGCTACTTCTTCTTGAGGTACCTGAAAAACAATGGTTACTGCATGACCGTAGAGCCCAAAAGACATCTATTTGATACCTGTCACCCACAGTATTTTACAAAGTACGAGATTTAAGTTTGCTTATTTTCAAATCCATCTAATAAAGCCAAACTGCCGGTACCGGAATACCGCAGCAGGGACTGTTCTGTTTCGGGGATCGACGTTTCCTAACTATCCTACCTCTAAAGAAACCAGCTTATAGGAAGCGGTCTAAGTAGAAGTTAGCATTTGGTACTTCAAGTATTGGTTCATGCAGCTGTTTGGCCAGGGAAAACTTTATTGGACAATGTATCCTACGATCGACCAATCAAAACAAGTTATTTAACTTTTGACCTAATTGTTTCATACATTCGTCAAAAGTGTATATAAATGGTGCATTTTTGTCCGGTAGTATCTTCCTCACAGTTGCAGGTCAGTCTTGATCAGTTCACATTTCGTGGCTCAATGAAGTATGAAATACTGAAAGAGAACAGTCGCTATTCGTTTCTAGTTCAAGTGTCTCATTTCGTTAGTCACATCTGCGTATTTCTTATTATTTACTCGGTCACTACAGCAGCACTATCAATCACCATCACAACTTCGTCGTGGAACCCCCCATCGCAGCGTAATGTAACTGCTGTTAGTCTAGCCACTATCCTCCAGACCTTTTTAGTATGGTAAGAACTCAAGGGGACAAAGTCTTCCACCAATGTAGTTCACTGGGTCACTGTGAGACACCAGCCAGATCACCTCATCAGTATAGCAGCTATCGGTCAGTAAGTGTAGCAATTTGAATCGATGCTTAAGCTTATCAGAGTTGTTTTCGTTCCGGACGTTCGTTTTCTTTCAATTATGTGAAAATATACCGATAAATACATAACATCAACATAAGACCAGTCATTTCTGAATGATAGTTAGAGTTGCCGCAATTCATATCAGCACAGTACGCGAGAATAAACTTAGATGAAAGATTAAGAAATGAAGAAGGCAGTTAAAAGTGATAGGAAGTCATGCAAAGAGATCAAGGAAGAATTAGATAATGTACATATTCAGTTTGACCAGTAAGATGAGGATAATGTATGAATATATCTGATGTGGACTCTGAACCATGTTGCCTAGTCTCCAGTCACCGATTTCTATTCTTACTGCGATCCCAACTGGGAAATCTACGTGTCTCTACATGGTTGAACCGACAACCAAAGACCTCACGTACTGATGACATGTCTGGCCACCCCTGACATTGAAGCAGATATTTCTTATTGTATTCGTTGATATACTGAACACTAACCTTATAAACTAATATAAATTACCACATAAATAATTCGACAAGTCCATGTGTGATCAGATTGTTCGAAATGTATAGGGCTAATAGATCTCCCTTCTTATTCCTATGTTTCCTATTAAATTCACTGACTCTTTTCGTAAATTTTCACGTAAAACAGTCTATCTGCTTTCTGCTAGTTTCAAACTTATTGGTTAATCATCAATACAGCACTCCAGTTTATACTTCGTGTTATCGCTTGTTTTCAGTGTCTGAAGCCGCAGATGGATCAGCAGTGTTTTTATGATCATAAGAAGAATGACAGTATTTCACAAAATTTATGTAAACCTTGGAGTCAGATACTGGCCCAACAAGCTTTCTTCAAGCCTAAACCTACTTCAGATAACACTGAGGCAGAAAATAGTGATTCGGCATACATAATACATGTCCCTGTCGTTTTTAAAAACCCTTGACAAAAAGTGCTAGTATCTGTTTGACAAAAGTTTTTAAATATGGTGCATTTAGAATAAATGTACAATTAGGATCATAGAAATGTTTGACATACGATATTTAAAATTAACTTATTTCCTGTACACATCCCAGACAAGTAGACTACCAAGTGTTCCACCATTTGTTGGAACAGATGTGATCAAAAATCCGAGCCTTTTGTAAATGTACATGATCGAATCAACTTGTCATCTTGATTCATATTTGATCCACTTGAATTATTCAGTGTTGTAGCACACCATTCACCAATTAAACTTCCTTCATTCAATCCTCCAACACTAGTAAGATAGCCTAATGATTTAATTTTGAATAATTTACTACTTTTTAACTGTACTTGAAATAAGCGTATTTGACCATTCCATTGTCCAACTGCTAGTAGACGACCATCATCACGCCAAGTGAAACATGAAACGCCAACATTTGAATCGCTGATAATTTTCTTCACCTTCAACAGTTTGTAAGGATTTTGTAACTGAACATTGAATTCTAACTGTATAAAAGCTAAACTTCCATCTGTTGACAACTTTGTATCACAAGTGTCTACAACAGGTCCACCTAAAGCGACAAGTCTGATGTTTGATGGTGGTAAATCTGTTTTTTCTTCACACAATTGCTGTAATACTACTGCTGCTGCAGGTCGAATAGAAACTTTCATGATAGGAATAGACTGACCTAGTGGGAAATCGAGTATAGTTAACACTAAACCATCGCCTAGTAAGATCAAATGTCCTGATTCAAATCCAGCTAAAAGAAGATAGTGTGCTTTTTCTTCTGTGAAACTCTTTTCAACTCCTTGCAATGCCATACACATACCTAGATTTGAAATATTTTTACAGAATCTTTGTAAACCATCGATGGATTGATGACAAATGAAAGTGAATTGAGGCAATTGGATTACTTCAATGACTAGTTCTTTAACAGATTTCGAAGCGTCATCTTCTTTTTCTTCTTCACATAGATGGGCTAGAAAATGCAAACCCGACTGTGAGTTGACCGATGCAGACCATAGAGAAGAATTGCAAAATGCAACACCGTATGTTCGAATTTCACTAAAAACTGTGTTAGGAAAATGTAATGGATGAATGAGAAACGAATGATTAATAAATGCACAAATACAAAACTATAGTGATGAGAAAAGTAAGATTATTTACAACTTAAGATACTGACCTAAGATAAACAGTTAGACACTACTTACAAACCAGTCAGTAGTATATGTAGAGTTATTCTACTCCCTTTAATAGATGACAATTTACGATCTGAATATTTTGCTTACTGAAGGAAATCGTCGTGAGATTATACTGTTAGATTACACTCATTTGTTTTATACTCACCACAGAGAGGAAATTTTACAAGCTCAATGTTTTATCCCTACCCGCCTTGTTTGTGTCAGCCATTAAGTCCTGCCAACTTGTAACTACATTAGAAACCTACTATCTGTCCACTCACATCTGCTGCTATAGTCAGTAGTATCATCAATATTACCATGGAACCAGATATTACTGTATGACGGTTCAACTTGCCACATCTCATCAGTACATCAAGTAACGAGGTAATAAAATAGAAGATGAAGAAAGAAAGAAAAATCTGTCAAAAGAAGTAGAAAGCAGTAAAACAGAGGAGAGAGAAATGAGAAAACACTGAATTCAGTATGCTGAGTATGATGAAGACGAATGTGGATACTTTTGCATCAATGACATAGATTCTCAGCCATATCGCCTAGAGTCTTCAACCACTGGTTTCTGTTGTCATATGGACCCCATCCTGCTAGTCTACATCTTACACGGCTCAAACCAACAGTCAAAAACTTCATGCATTCATGCCATTTTTTGGTTCGACTGCTCCTTACCTCATTCCAACCTGAACTAACTTCAGCTAACATTGTGCGACGAGGCAGACGGCGGCTAGGCATTCGTAACACATGTCCCAGCCAATCTGAGCCGATAAAGATTCACAACCCTATCAACTGACCTTCCTCTCCTCCCAAAAACTATACTCCTGACTTCTGTGTAACTGTCACAGTGATACTACAACATACAGTCTACGGTACGAAGGCAACGGTGGTCACACACAAGAAGCCTTCTCATTTTTGATTATTATCAAACTGGAACTACAGGTAATATCGAGCCATCCCCGTAGAAGCTCATATGCATATGAAGACTGACCAATTCATTTCAATCAACGACAGGAAATTACAAGCAATAGCATTACAGCAATACTCATCGCAAAGGGTTTATCGTGACTCAGTGGTCTATAGAATAATGCTTTGGCTTTTGAAGCGATCCTGGGTTCGAGTTCTAGTGGGAACAAGAACACTCGCTGGGGGGGGGGGGGAGGAGGGCAATTATATCCAACTGACGAGTGATTCCCAAGTCAAACGAAACGCGCTTCCTGGATCGGACTGCTAGCTACTATTATCCATCATTACTATCAAACTTACTACTGATTCCTGTATGTTTATTCGCTCAATTCGAGCGTCTTCAGTTACGTCATATCGATGTCATCTTTCCTTCAAACCGACAATTATGAGCGATAGGTAAATACTCTGCACAGAGGGAACGCAAGAGACAATGTGAAGGTACGAAGAGCAAAACGAGAAAGAAGAAGCGGAAACGAAACATTGTGCAAATGAACATTTCAATGGAAAGGTTACAAAATTTCATTAGTAAAGTACAAAGTGTCATAATAAACCTCCTTCCGGGTTTCATTCTTTGCCATTTTCTTACACTATTATTTCACAGGACAGAGAAACAAAGAAATGAAATAGGGGAACTCAAGCAATCGTTAAAATCCCACTAAAAATTCAACTCTCTGTGACCATTTTAAACATGCATGCACAGAATGGGAAATTCGCATATGCCATAAGAAATGATAAATACCTGTAGGGAAAAAGAGAAGGAGGATAATTAGATATCGTAAAATTTAGGGTAACAAAGTTTGGAAGATACATACAGATAAAAGGGTCAAAATCAGCAGAAACGTAAGATCAGATCAGATCTTAACTCGACAACACAATATCACCCAGCCTTCCTTGCAGCTTTGTATGCATCACCATCAGTACCAACACTACAGCGAACTTCTGTTCCTCCAATATCAAACCAATAGTCAAGAGAGAGAGGTGGTTCGCATCTAGTTGTGAAATTAATATTATTCTATAGGAAGAAAATAATTCAAGGAGGCTCAGAATTATCCAATGAGTAACTGAAACGACAGGCAATATCGAGGCATCCCTGCAGAAGGCCGTAAGCCAAAAGAGACTGATCAATTCAGTCCAATCAACGACGAGATAACACAAATAACAACATATCCAATGAGTAAACCATATATCAGTTTGCACAATATGAAATTCTCACCTTGAATAAGAGGGTCAAAAAGCCTAGCATCATTCACTTGAAACTGACTGAAATCCCAAAAACGAATAAATCCATCACGAGCATGAGATATAATCACATTTGAATTATCACTTGGCCAAAAGTGTAAACTTATAAGTTGATGGTTAGCATGTCCAATCCATTGACGATAAGGTCGGTGACTTTCAACTGACCAGATGACTATCCAGCCATTTGTATGACCAGATACTAAGTGACAATCATCTACTGGTAAGATACATGTGCACAGGCCAATAGAATATGATGTTGTACAATTGTTTTGACTGATATAACGTGGTTGCACCGGTGTTAATAAATGGATTGGTTCCTAAAAGGGAGAGAAAAGAAACCTATATGCTTCAGTTGAATATATGTGTAGGTAATAGTGAAGCAGGCAGGGATCCATTTTATTTCGCGGTTTCTCATCAGCTGCTCACCAACTTAAAACAATTTTATTCCCAAATAATACAAAACGTTTGCATATTTCATAGAAAACTTTCAGTTTGACTATCTGAGATAGTTGTGGATTCGGAGGACTCATACTGGTATTGGGTGAATCGATAATCATATGCAAAAGCACGATAATTGTGAACAACATCATCATGGTAGGCACAGACTGATAACTGTTTCTTTCTGAGCACTAAAGTATGCTTTTAAGCGTTTAATGGCTAATACTTCAGCGAAAAGCAACAAATTCGAATTCATCTGCTTATTGATCACTTTGGACTATTTCTAGATATTAACTTCATGTACACTATCAATATGGTGATCAGTAATAGCACTATTGAAGACTTTTCCACCTCACAGTCGCTCTAGAATATTCATCTAATCCTTCCATATATCGACAAACCTACCACTTATCCAGTCAATTCGAGTATCTTCAATGATGTCAAATCATCTTTATTTGAAGATGATAATTTTCATTGTGACCCATAGGGTCAACCAAGTCGGAAGTGAAGACGACGCTTACTCAACGATGGCATCGGATGGAGGTCACGCTTTATCATAAACTAACAGAAAATGTGTACCATCGAATTCCAAACTAGCGGCTCAGAGGAAACCTGTTCATCGTGAAGGTGCTTGGTTTGGTACACCGTGGGGTTATGGGTGCGCACTGGTTGGGAGTCCTATACTAGGACGAAGCAACTGTCCAGTGTTCCCAGGTTTTCAGTAGTTCTCCAAATGATGTCGGTCCGTGACTAATATCAACCTGAATATATAAGAATTCAAGATGTACAGGGAACTCAATTCATTTTCAGTCACACCAAGTATTTTAGCATAAACAAACCACATCAGTATATGATTTATTTATTCATTATAGTATTCTACTGCAGTGCATACACATTTCGAGTTCACCACGGCATAGCTTCTAGAATTGTCATCGAAAAGAAACGTAGACTATTCAAGGGGCAATAGAAGTTTTTTATACATAAGAGGTAGATGACTTAACTATGCTTATCATAGACAAGATAATTATAGCGAAAAATCTATCGAACTAATTGACAAGTAGTAATCAAACCACTTTCATTTCCAATAAGAGATGAAAGCAAGAAATAAGGAATAAAGACTATCATAAACTCAATCGTTTCAGTTAACGCTGCTCAGTTAGATATTCCAGTGGAATGAACCTACAGTAAAATTTAGCATCTCTTAATTCCTAAACGAACTTGCATTTTCATCCAAGGTTTAAAGCAAGCCCTTACATAACTGTCTTTTCAGTACTCGGAATCAATCAGAAGATACTTGAGGATGACAGCAATCGCAGATAACTCGAAGGCATCAATTTCAGCAGCACATTTATGATGAGTTCAGAAACATGTAACTACCCTAACAAGTACTATCAAATGAAAGGACCCATTATATGCCCTTAAAAAACCATGATGTTTCGAGTACAAAATCAATGCAAGGTACTTGCTCATCACCACCGATTCCAATCACCTGGACTACCACAAGACTAACGGCATTACACAGACGAAATCAGCGTGCGACCTCGCAAACAATTGCATCCCTTCAATTTGTCACACATAGTAGTTAACAAAAAACAGATGGATAAAAAAAGACTGATATCAAGGTAAACGAAGTTGTGACAGGAAACAAAGAATTTGAAGTAAATATTCAGGATTTAGAAGACATCAAGGAGTGAATACAACTGCACTACTACGACTGATTTTCAGCTACATCACCGAGAGCTCTCAACTACTGATTATTATTGGCCAGACCAACAGTCAGAGACTTCACACACTGGTTCCATGTCTTTGTCTGGAAACCCTGAACCCTCTTCCATTTAATCAGACTTCCTCTAGCATCGCACATCGAGGTAGGCGGTGGGTGGCTAGGCGTAAGCAACACATGTCTAAGCCATCTCAATCGATTAACGTTCGCAACATCTTAAATAGACATGCCAAGTACCCTTCCCCTGACGTCAAGATTACTCATGCTGGGATTCAACCAAACGCAAGCAATTCTAGGAAGACACCTGTGATCAAACCCCTTTAACCTCTTCATGCCTTCTACTTTTAACTTCATACTGAAGTTAGTACTGATGATGTCGTCCAGAAAGACGGTGAAGGCTTCACGATTAAACAACCCAGCTCGTAGAACACAATACAACAAAGACCATCCACCTGAGCTACAAATATTCTTCATTACTTTTAACGCCCATTTTACAGCCATATGATAGGAAAGAGCGGACTCCAGCGTAGTATACTCGTCCTTTGACAGACAGTCGGATATCTTGCCAGTTGGCGCCACAGATGACGCAAGTTGGCAGATATGAAACGAGCCTTTTGTATTCGAGCTGAGATCTCGTCACTAAACAGACCATTGGGGCTGGTGCGACTCTCTGACGAAGTGAAGTGGTCAACACATTCCACCATTTCATTCTCTATCATTAAACTGAGAGTGGTTGCAGACCAATTCTGGAGCACCATCTTGCACTAGAGAGGTGAGAGATGCATCCCAAACATCATACTCAGATTTCTATTCAACGCGTTCAGAAGAACATGAATTTTTTCAGATGACGCTATCACGCAAAATAAAATTTACGATAAAAGTCTGGTGTGTGAGTGCATATCGGTTTTAAAAGGCAAACAATCTAATCTACGCACTCTATCATTTATAAGATTTCTCCGAGTTTGCTTCTAACGGCCAACCACCTTGGTGTCAAGGATGATGGAGGCTAAGATTTTAGAATTTGCATTAAAGTTAAGCAGACTGGTCTCAAGGTTAGATTCAGCTGTTTGTTAAAATTGGAGTGGTGAATAATATATTTTAGTCAACAGTAATTATTGCTTTACTTCCACTCCTTAAACACTAACTAATTCCTGTTGAAGAGATTCAAGTTACCAATACCGAACATATAATACATGCATCCGTTGGAATTACAAGTCAGTTTCGTGTGATATCTCCATTTCCTGTTAAATTCAAACAACTTATTTTTCAAATGATAGGAGGAAAAAACACTTCGAAACTAAAAAATAATAAAATAGTAGCGCATTGCGAGGTGAAAATGCTTAGAGCATATGATAAGTTAGCATCAGAATCTATCTGGATAAGGTATACACAACGCATTGAAGTAGGAAGAACCTTTTGAATAGATCGCATTCAGGATTACTATGCAGCATATTTAAAGCAACCTTACTACGTAAAGCTTCAAAACTGAAGTACTTTAAAGCTGTAAAAGTAAAATATAAAAATAGGATGATCCATTTACAAATGATTTTAAAAGTGTACGGTCCACGTTGACATCTCTCACAGCTAAGTAGTTTTTAAACTGTTCAACCATGGAGTCAACAGGTTCTCCGTTGGAAACCAGCCATCAACCAAGGTCATAAGGTGTGATCTCTATCTAACACGAATCTCGTAAATTACGAAAATATAGTAATACTGAACAACTCAAGTGGTTAGAAACCACTCAGGCTGACCTGTAGATTTTGTCATCCGGCTACACCAGAGTGATCTAAACACCGGACGGTTACTTTGCTCATTTGAAGCTAAGCTCATCAGCGGTGTACCTGCAGGAGGGCAGTTGAGGAACCATATAAGTGTGAGAAATTTCAACGTGGATTGGGCAATTTGGAACCCATTTGCACAACATCGGCCACTGGAAACAGGTACATACAGGTGACAAGTCCCAAACAGGACGAAACGTGAGTCCTGGATCCGACTGTTAGCCACTATCCACCGTTAATATCAAACTGAAAATACAGGTGAGATAGAGGCGGCCGGGTGAGAGCCTATATGCCAATAGGGACCGGTCAACTAGATCCAATTAACGACGGGATAATACAAACAACACAATATGCAACACGCTTTAGGATACTTTTATAATTTTCTAATACTAAACTTCCACTAAAGTTTGTTTAAATGTGGAACATGATGACTGATAACACATAAAGATATCATTATATAAGAGTAAAAGCAGCATCGTCATCACTACGCATTTGTTGGATATTGACAGAAATGAAATTGATTCAGATAACGTAAAAATAACGATGCGACTCACAGGTAGTGAGTGTGGATAAAAACCGTTCGATGAATGAGTAGATTTTATCTATTGAGTTAAATGATACAACACTCTGGTAAACTAGTATTCTTGCTTATTATACCGTCGTTGATTGGACCGAATTGATCGGTCTCTATTGGTATATGGGCTACTGTGCGGATGCTTCGATATTACCTGTTTTAATTATAATAGTGGTGGATAGTGGCCAGCAGTGGAATCCAGAACGCTCGTTTCATCCTATTCGGGACTCGTCAGGTGAATGTACCTGCCTCCAGCTGAGTCCCAAATACGACGAAATGCGCATCCTGGATCCCACTGGTAGCCCCTATCCATCATTACTGTGGTAGACTTTTTCCAGTGTTACACACTATCAGTTAGTCGGTAAAAAACTTTACTTCATGTTCATTGGCAATGACAAAAAATATTTATCATAAACCTTGAAAGGATTGAAGTTTTTTGTCATTTAGCGTACCACATTTAATGACTTTATCATAAGGCACCTACTCTGAAAATTTTCATCAACATCAAAATATTCTGACTGCGTTAGAAATATTCACCGGTTGATTACCAGTGGATAACCAAACTGGCACTCTTGTCTTCTGTGAGATATGCATTGTTAAGTCAAGGAATGTAATGTGACAACTAATTTACATGACAATCAACCGTAGTATACTCTAACTGGAAGTAGACGATAAAAAGTAATTAATGATTGTCTTTAAAACACCTGAAATGACTCAGTAAATGAGCAGGAAAATGCTAAAAAATAAAAAAACTCAGTGACAATCAAGAGGATGATAAATTTTCGACGGGAAGGAAGTTCGACGCACCTAGATGCCCTAAGTGCTCGTGCACAGATGTGTTGAATATGTCATACCTATCTCTACCTTGTTTGTGTCAACCCCTAGTCCCACCAACCTGCTTTTGCGTATAAGACTCTTAGAGATGGGAACGGAATGCACTTAGCAGTCTTCAGCCAGACCTACTACTATGTGAGGGTTAACGACACAACTACATGGTTGCCCGAACCTTGGTAGGTAGAGCGGTATTCGAACGCGTGACACACCAGTTGAAAATCAGCTCCCTTACAGCTGAGATTTACCATACTGATGATTTCTTTATACTCGCTGAGTTATATTCACTTCAGTCTTCCTACATCCTTTTTTATTTGTGACCTTCATTTGAATTGGCCGTGTTTATCACTTCGATTGATTTCTGTACTACTGTTTTCCCGTCATTTCCCTAGTTTGAGGAAACAGCTCCGAATTTCTACATTGTTAGTAGATTCCTTGGCTAGGCCCGGTTGATTTTTCCTTGCAACTGAATGGCGACCCCCCCCCCCCCTTTGCACACACATACACACGAGAGCCTCACAGTTCAAGGCTGTTATCATTATTATTTTGGTCATGATGTGTACTGGATACTTTCAAGCGCCATGTCTCAAAGTCGTAAAACAGGACAGAACGGACTTCAATACAGTATAACTCGTATATATCCCCAGTTGAAAGTAAATGAGAATACGACCCATTCGCATTGAGACGTAAAACCATATTACAAAAAAGTGCATGTCATACGCTATATCATATACAGTTTTCATTACTAAAATCATTATGGTTAGATAAGCTAACCGGATATAGGAAACTTAGCTAGCGAAACAGATAGCTGTGCGAATCTAATTGGTATCAAGTATGCATCAAGTATACATTTACAAAGTATGGAGTCATAAACAATAATCCACTCTCAAATAAGACTGTTTACTTCAAGAACTGAATACAAGAAGCCAGAGTCAACTGTCAGACAAAAGTACCATGACATCTTAATCAATAAGTCGAAATCTTTTGACTAAAAAAAGTGATGTTGGCAGATACCATGTCAATTGCTAGATCACTATGAAAACCGTGTAGACAGCAGATATGACAGCCAACAGAGGATTATTATCCCACCTATCTTTGGAATAATGGAAAGATTTCAGTTTGTTTTCCAACTGAATATTGGCTATTGAACCAATGAAACATTTTAAAATGTAAAGCAAATAAACAATCAACACCAACAGCTAATAAACAAAGTAAATTATAAAACACGTACATTCTAGAATTGTACTGAAAATTTTATTAACTAAAATAATAGGGAAATATACACTTTGAGGTATCAAACATTGAGCAATAAGTAATTTGTCAGCAAAATAAAAAGGTGATTGACAAAAAGGATAACAACACGAAGGAAGAGAAAATTAGGAGAGCAATTCAAAGAAATTGTACAATAGGCTTTGAAAATGATCGGGAGATATACAATTGTCACAGACTGATGTGTAAATACACACGTACATTACCTCTATGAATACATTTTACGTAATTTATAGGTCAATGTACAGAATACATCTGATTTACACACACACACACACACACACACACACACACACACACATCATAGATCCATTTAATGGTAATGATGACAGATAATAGGCATGTAACTACAAGTTCTCCACATTTTTCTCCCTATCGAGCATCTTTCTTTCCAAAAGAAAATCCTGATTTACCTAAACATGAGTAACGGTAAATAAAATTCGAAAAAAAAGAGAAAAATTCAGCAAAAGCTTCTTTGAAAGTAATCGTAAATGCAAATGTTGTCTGATAGACTGAAAATACCATCAACCAACATAGAGCCTGGTATGGACTGTGCGGTGATCGAGGCCGCACAAAATCATATCAGTATTCTATCAAACAACTGTTGAACAGATATTCACCATGATGGTCAATACACATACAGTTATTAACTAACGGGATGACGTATTTATTTGCATTTGTGGAGCACTTTTAATTTTATCATCAGTTTGTCAGATTGACTAGTTTCTGGGTGAAATTAGGTTGTGGTCGTCAGCAGTTGGATCTTGTAGCTCATTTGGTAGAGCAACAGGCCGGTAACCTGGATACTACTAGTTCTCAAACCAATCATCATCCAGGATGAGATTAGTTTCTGTCATCAAAAATCCCTGGGAGTTAAGAAGTAATCAATAATTCTGCTACTTCAACAGTGACTGAAAATGGGAGACAGTAGAATAATAATGATATTGGAGAAGATATTTGTCTACATGGAAATTTAGTAAATTTACTATTTGTAGAGCTGCAGTTCAGTGGTCTAGCCACTTAATTTTTATTCACTGACTTACAGATTTGCACTTTATTCCACTTATCCAAGGGGTTTGAGCACACACGCACTACCCGTCAGCCTGCACACAATAGGTGTGGCTGATAGTTCAGTAGATGAATCTACATATGGTTGCCGAGTAACAGTTCGATAATTACTACCCCGCAGAAAACAAGAGAGCTGATGAGTGTCCCGTTTTAAATGAAATGAGATCAGTAAACAACAATCATTGCAACTACATCACTGAAAATAACATCAGTTCAAAATTTTTAGTTTAAATTTACAAGTGATAACTGTCATAAGACGGGAAATTATCACATAAACGCAATGAACTAAGGTGGAAAGGAAGACATGTGTTACCGATGAAACTGAGATCAATCAATTAACTGATTTTGTGGTGCTGCTGGCTGCGTAAACCTCGATAAGAGGGGCGAGGTTCGAGCCTGCAACCCCTCGGTGGGAAATCAAGTGCTTTGACCAATGCACCACAGGCTCCACTAATCCATTAGATGATTACAAACTTACCACGGATGAAAACAGTTAGTGATTTTGATGTAGAAGGAGGAAAATCGAATGGCTGACGCACGACAGAATTCATATCAGCAACAAACCATATTCACAGTATACCCTCCGGCAACTCAATACAAAGATATGAAGTTCCTCTGCAAATATCTTAATGAACTACTGAAAACTATTCTAATAACTGATAATGAAAGAGAATGCAAATAGGGAAATTTATGTAAATGTTACTTGGAGTTAATGAGTAGGAAACCATAAACTCTACTTTCGCAACTGTTAGCACTCGTCAGCAAGGTGTATTTGCAACCTTGAAGGAACTGATACATCGTTTGAGATTTGGAGCCAGTGTCACCCAGTATTAAAGTCAGCGACCTCATCATTGATCTAGACCTGCAAGTCAGTCGCGGCCCGAATACCTCAGTGGTAACGTCACTGACTGCGACATAGAATGGCACGGGTTCGAATTTCAGGGGAGACATCAGTTCCTTAGAGGTTGCAGATACACCATGCTGATAAGTCCTAACGAGCAGGGAACCTACGTCAGACAGGGTTTCCTGCCGATAGCATCCAACTAATTAGGTAGTCATTCTTTCTAATCCACTGGGTGTATGGACAGATTTTAGACCATATTACCACTTTCCTCAGTGTAAAAACCATGCAAGATAAGCTGAAGTAAGACCAGAAGGAGGCAAAGAATGGAAAACCAGGGATATTCGACAATTCCTTTTTCTTTACCTTTTCTCCTTCATGTAGACACGTGTAAACAAGTGGACGTTATTACTTAAGAGTTCCAAATTGCTCTTAGTGTTAAAGCTATGTAAAGAAGGTCCTAGTTCAAAAAGAATCCAGCACTAATTTTTTTAATCTGAAGAAAAATTACTCATATGAACTGGTGAAAAAATCACCGTTGCGTTGTATTCACTCAGCTGGGCGGTTTAATCGTGAAGCTTTTATTGTCTCCTTCTAGACATCATCAACATTAACTTCAATATGAAATGAGATGTCAATATCTCTCTGTGAGTGTTTCAGTAGCTTGTCCTGACGAAGTGGTTTGTGATTGGTTGTTTACTTTGATTGTTGTGACACTGACTGTATAGATTTTCTTGTTAGTTGTTTCCCTGCTTGACCTCTGACCATTTTGTTGTTTATCATTTTTTCTTGTCGGTTGACAGATTGGGTTTATGTCTATACATCTACTGACTGCTAAATTCCAAACTTCTAGGAATCCCCTGATATTCTTTGTGTTTCCTATGTTCAAGATTTCTACATTGTTAAAATTGAATTCATGTTTGATGGAATGTTGTGACGTTGGTGTTCATGTGAACGAAGAGGAATATGCTGACCACATTGTCCAATGAAGTGATCGAAGTTGCTGCAGCTGATTTTGTAAATAAGAATATTCAGGGTTGTCTTCTTTGGTCTGCATGATATGATTAAGAGGGAATTTGGCGGTTTATGAGTCACATCAATTTCAAGTGGTCTCAGTAGTCATATCACTATCTCTGACATGTTCTTTATGTATGGTAGGATGATCCGTTTGCTAACTTCTATGGATGACTTTGTAGTTGATGATGAATTGGATAGACATTTTCTGATTAAATTGGGTGGGTAACCATTCTCCTTTAGAACAGATATTAAGTAATTTTCTCCGTTCTGTTGTACCAATGTATGCTTTTTCTCTTTCGAAAAGAGTCTATACGCCACTAGTTTTGTTCGTTGTTGCTAGTGTAGTTGAGTTTTGGTCAGTGTGCTGACCCCCTGTTCACCTGGGTTTCCAGTTTTTCGCCAATGGTTCTACTGACCAAAACATCCAGGAATCCCAGTCGGCTGTTCGACTCCTTCTCCTCCTTGAAAACGTAGCCGAACAAATTCTAAGCCTTTTCTAATTCATCCTTTTTAATGATAACAAAAGTATCCTCCACACAACGGATCCAAATTTTCGGTTTGATCACAAGTAAAATGATCGCTTCCAATCTCTGCATCACAGCTTCTGCAATTAATCCAAATATCAGTGACCCCTTTGGAATGCCTTTTATCAATTTGTATATCTTGCTATTAAATTGGAAAAATGTCGTCATACAAAGATCAGACTTGAACACTAGAGTTTTGTGAAATCCGAAAGCCTTGCGTCGTCAGTCAGGAGAAGCGAGATGGTAGCCTAAGCCATTAGTCGTTCAAATGATGTACATAACGCTGTAACTTTAAAGGACATCAATAATTGGTCACCGTTTGTGTTACTGCCTTTGATCCTTTACAAAAATCCTGTCGATGATTTGACAAAATCTTTCATAATGTATTTCAGTTTCCTCGGAAGCTCTCTGGAAAAATTGCAGATTGGGATCCCCGGGAAAAAAATTACTGGCAGTAGAAGAATGTTCGGTCTAAGTAGTTTTGGTCAGTCGTAAAACCGAAGGAAAACAGGTCCATTCGATTTCATTATTCATTTACCTTTTTCTGTTATTTCTCCTGTTTTGATGAGAATATTTAAGGTTTTGGTGACTCAGTTGCTAAACTTTCGGATACGGTTAGTCTGAACTGATTGATGTAGATTCTCGTTTTTAAGTAAATCCTGCGTCTTCGCGATATAGTCTTTCTTGTTCATGACTACAGTGGTGCACCCTTTGTCTGCCAGGAGTATAATGATGTTTTTCTTCTTTTTCAGTCATTTTTTTGTCTGGTCAGTGGTACGCTTGTTTACCGTATTCTTTGTTTGAGTTTGTTGAATTTAATCCCGATGTTCTGAGCGGTGATCCTAATGCAGCGAAGAAATGAGATTACCAATCACAAACCACTCCATTAGAGTAAGCTACCACATCACTCACGCAGAAATTTTGACGGTTAATTATTCATTAATACTTGTGATTTCCCGTTCCTTTTACTGGGTCAAATTGCTCGACTCTGTTGGTAGATGGGCTAATATGCGGATGCCTCGAAACTGCCCAAATATTTAGCATTTTGTGGTCCACTTGATGTCCACTAGTGGAAAGCAGGACGCGCGTTTTTTTCACCAAGTAGACCACATTCATGGGTCAATGGAGGTGGAGTAATTCGACCCGGTAAAAGCAACGGGAAATCGCAAGTATTAATGAAAAACAACTGACACCCATTGCAAAAGAGGTGGCTCTCGTGTCCCAGTGGCCTAGTGGGTAACGTTTTGGCATTTGAAGCCATGAGTGCCGGGTTCTAGCCTCAGTGGGAACAATATAACTCACTGGAGTGCAGGTACATCCAGCCAACGACTCTAAAACAGGACGGAACGCACGTCCTGGATTCTACTACTAGCCACCAAGTAAACTACAAAATCTTGACAGCTCATTTCATACTAAAGTTAGTTCTGGCGATATTGTCTAGAAAGAGACAATAAAAGCTTAACGACTAAACCACACAGCTTAGAGAATGCAATACAACCACGATCATCTCTATCTTGAGCTAAAAATATTCTCCATCATTCCACCGGAGACAATTTTTCTTCCTGCTTAAAAAACAAACACGAATAAAAACAATAACCTCCGTAGTATACAAACAGAGAATATATTTCCCTTGCTGCCACTATTCACGCAAGATATATACAAACATATCCATGAAAGTGACTATAAAATGTAACCACCATAATAAGTAGGTAAATATTTGTAGAATCAGGCAGTAAAAAGTAAATAACGAGATATAGCTTACCTATTCGATAAAAGTATCCAACTGCATGTATATCACATAGGAAATAGACAAGTAATAATAATAATAATAATAATCCGACTGGTAGGGGTTTGTGTAATTTGGTTAATTTGGAGATATTTTCCACATGATGAATAGACAACAGATGAATACATATTTCAAAACTATTTGCTTATTGGAATACGTTATGAACTTATTAACACTAGTCCATTTTCGCCACTATCCAACTGTGAATTACCATCATATAACATTAAAATTATGCCCCACGAACCCCGCCCACATAAAGTAACTCAATTACGAAGAGATGACCATTTCTAAAAGTCTCTTCTTATGATACAACAATATCGACAAATAACTACACTTATAGACTGTTAGATAAGCCACAAAGCGACAACGACAGAGAGCGACGGCTCCCAGTCACCATATTTTTAAATAAGACTTTTAAAAGAAGACTTAAAAGAAGGGGTTACGGATAGAAGGAAAAGAAAAAGTGATCGACAGTGCGTTCACATTTTACAGGTACAAAACTATGTACATCAACTCTGCTGCGATGAAATTTGCACATTTCATCTCCTCTATACAACCAGTGATTTCTGATATAATGTCAACTTGTTAGCTACTAACGCTACAGAGATAATGCAACTAGTAAGATAAGTGAGCAGTTAAGACGCGACCGCTTTACTTTATACCACTAAACTATGAATTACTAAGAAACAGCAGTAACGGAGTACGTTTTAGGTGTGTGTGACAGATAGACAGAATCGATATAGAAGCTCGCACACAAGTGCATCCGTTCAAATTACCACACTTCACAGTTCACAGAGAACAAGTGGATAAAAAAAGACTACTATCAACGTAGACAAAGGGGTATGAGAAAACAAACAATTTGAAGATAACTGTCAGTGAAAATGTTCAAGCTTTAGAAGACATTACAGATGAAACACATCTGTCCTATTGTCACCGATTTTCAACCACGTCACCATGGGTCCTCAATTACTGACTCCTTTCATCTCGGTGACCCCAACCAGGCAGTATACATCTTCCAACACTGCTCAGACCATCAGTCACGGACTTCATGGACTGGTGCCACGTCTTGATCTGGCCACTCTGAACTCTTTAAACCTAATCCAACTTCCCTGTAACCTCTTTGTGTCTTCTACTTTTAACGCCCGTATCTCGCAGCCGTACAACGGGACAGAATGGACTGCAGAGTAGTAAACTCATCCTTTGATAGATAGTCGGATATCTCGCTAGTCGGCGCCACAAATGACGCAAGTTGGTAAATGTCGAACGGGCTTTCCGTATCCGAGCTGAGATTTCGTCAGCAACCAGCCCGTTCGGACTGATCCGAATCCCCGAATTCGATGTAATAACTCACTACAGCATTTCCTGACATAGGGATTGTCTCAGAAATTATAGCTAGATAGAATCATTTCCATTGGCACTTCCAAGACAAAGATGAATATAAATCATCTTGTCACTTAACATGCCAAATCATTCTCACACGAGTCAGTAAGACTCATTTGAGTTTTAAGTAGTGAGAAGCATCTATCTGGTGCCTTGTTTTGACAGGAAGATGAAGAAATAATCGCATCAAAGAACAACTCGATCTACTATGGTAAATAGGAGTCTTGAAGTTAACCATTTTGTAACCGAGAAAACCTTATTCGATCTACTGAAAACTAGCAAGTCAGAATGGTAAATAAATCACAAACTCATTTAGCATCCCTTTCACAATGGGAAAGAAAACACCTATGGAAAAACAATAACTTCACTTTACATAATAAATGGATATGAAAGCAAGGAGTCAATACTGGACAGGTATTGTTTCGATGTCAAGTTAGTATGACTGACTTACCTTGTGACTGGTTAACACGGGAAACAGTCCATGCGAATAAATTGATCAGTGATTGACGATCGTGGACAGTTGTTTCAAAAGTACCCATCACTGTATGATAAAAAGACAACAAAGAAATAATCTGCAAGTAAATGAACTATTTTATATAGTTAAATTCACATGACTGATGATTTATTGCGCACACACAAAAGAAATATTCAAGGAATGTTGGGTTATGCAAACAGGAAACTGTGGAGCATTGAACCTCAACCCAGTAGCCGAATAGTTAAGGCGTTCGGCGTAAAACCTAGAGATTCTGAGTTTGACCTCTGACAAGGTCATGGGCACGTACTGCTGAAGAGTCTCATATTAAGACGAAACAGTTGTCCAGTCCTTTCAGTTTTCCAATGGTTCCCAAAATGATGTCAGCCCATGATGAATACAATCTTAGATTTATTTACTGAGACGACAATGGCTTTGAAAACTCGTGTCCAGGTATAAGAAGCTTAAGCTTACCTTCTTAAAATTGATGAAAAACTCAAAATCTCCCTATGTCAGCTTTATTTTCGTAAGATTATACTTTAATAGGTATTTCATTTATTGTTTTAAAAATACTTCTGAAATGCAGACACACTCATGAGGGATACTTTCATCATCATCGGAAGCGTTCGGTGACACAGGTTTGACTCAACATCGAAGGCAATACGACCTTGATTTCTGCAATAAGTTTTCCAAAAAAGGCACATGTGTAGTTAGTACGCGTATTAGTCAGGATAGATTGATCGATTACTGCATTGTTTTCAATGTCAATATCGTCTAATCCTCATTCTGGAACGTCTTCGTCAACATCACCTGCTAAGCTTATAGTTAGAATACATTGACTAATCATTAGAGAACAACCAACTTCACATTGTCTAGTCCTGAGTGCCGACCGAATCCGATTCGATCATTCTATAATATGGACACTAAGATAAGAACCTCACCATCGCGATCTACTTCGATGAGTGTTAGTTAGTTAGAGGCAACCAGTAGGGAACCCTGCACCGCCTAGGTTTCGTACTTGTTGGCATTAGTCAGTAAGGCGTTTCTGCTACCTCGAGGAAAGTGATGTCTCCTGCAAGATTCAAACCCGTGTCACCCAGTGTTGCAGTCAGTGACGCTACCATCAAGCTTTTCGGGCAGCAAATAGAATATTCAGTCGGGTATTCGAGAAAATACTAGTGGAGTTTATGAGGAATCCAAAAGAGTTCCTTCACTCTAACTAGTTTTGAATATCTCATGCGTATGTTATTTCTCATTTCAATTAGTCTTTTTGCCAAATAGGTAAAAGTATACGTGTACATAACGGATTCAGATATTAAGCATCTAAAGCGAATCTTTAGAAGTAAATCCTTTTTCTCATCAGATTTATAATGACATCAGTCACAGCGAAAAATGACCGATTAGTTTAATTACTTCCGTTATTCAAAGTGCCTATTGCAACGATGCAAATAACTCAGATAACAGAATTTTATCTGCTTATATTTGCTCAACAGTAATATAGAAGGTATTAAGTTCTTAAGCGAAATCTTTATAATATTTGAAATGATAAAACCTTTTTTTTCAATGATTTTCTGGTGAAAAAGTATCAAATTTCTCTAGATGAATATTCATAATAATGAAAAATAAATATTTACGTATTGATCAGAAAAACAATAAACAAATCAATGTTTAGGCGAATTTTCAAGGCAATTAGTATACATCGAGGGAAAATGCAACCGATCGATCCTACCAATTGAAATATTAATTCTATTTTATTATATATACACAAGAGAGGAAAACATAGCAAACAGACAGACCTATAATAGTACAATGAAGGGAAGAAAAATGGTACGCTTTCCCCTATTCGCCTACTGCGTCAGAATCAGCTTGAGCCGATGTCAGTCTGTGATAAAGACTATTACTGCGCGTCCACCGTGAAACCTGAATGTTCTGAGTTCGATCCCTGGAGGGGTGGTGGGTATGCACTGTTGAGAAGTCCCATACTGGGACGAAACAGCTGTTCAGTGCCCTAGTTTTTCAATGGTTTTCTTACCGATGTCAGTTCGCGATGAGTACTACCTTGAAAATAAAATCCCCGAAAACCTCGAACTACACTGATCATATAAATAATTATTTTTTTAAAATGGTACGAAGACAGTGAAAAACAATGTCATCTTCAATCCAGACAACACTAAGGATCGAACCCAAAACCTTCAGGTTCCACGACCAGAACGTTGCCATTGAGCCAGTGGGTTGGCATCCAATGGACATTAATGATTTGTATCGACAGCGATTTCCGAAGTTCTAATGAGAAGTCATGACTGGTGGGGTCAACCAAGTCGCATATAAGGACAGTTACTCAACGACAGTATTGGATGGAGGTCGTGTTATTTCATGAACTGACAGAAGTAGGAAATGTGGAACACTGGGTGGAGACCCAGTGGTTCAATGGTAACGGGTTGGCCATGGAACCTGAAGGTTCTGAGTTCGATCCCTGGCATCATCGTGAGTGCGCATTGCTGAGGAGTCCCTCGATAGGATGGAACAGCTGTCTAGTGCTCTCAGGTTTCCAATGTTTCATGATAAATACCAACCTGAAAATAATGTCTTCTTATCATTGTCCATACAGATACCATTTTCACTGAAGGAGCTTCTTGTACAGATTACTAGCCATTCATAGTTGAAAAAGAATAAATATCGATATGAAGACGTTTTTAAGAAAATTTTTAAAAAAATCATTTGATGGATGATTAACAAAGAACATGCGTCAATTTGAAGGTTTACTTGAAATTTTCCTAAGCTAGAACTTCATATAGAGTTGAAATAGTAGACAAATTGGAATAATGTTTCCTCTCAAAGTACACAGTACATATGAAAAATAAAGTAGGTCAATCTGACATACATTAACTTAATACATCAACTGATAATTAACGCAGTCAAGTAGAAATACCTAAATTCTATGATAAAATTAGATCAATATAACATTACCACTGACTATTTTATTTATGTCTGAATGTTTTCAGTTTATCGTTTATTCGTCTAAATTCAAAATAAAGCGGACTCTTAAGAATGAGACCCAAAAAGTAAAGACTGTTCACAAGACCGGCCATACGAAGAACTGTTACTTTATGGAGTTAGACAGGACAGACAAAATCAACTTAGGACCTCGCATACAGGTTCATCGGTTCAAAATGCCCAATTTACAGTAGTATTTAGCAAAAAAGTGTATAGAAAAGGATGATATCAAAGTAGACAAAGGTGTATGGAAGGAGAGGGGATTTAAACATGAATGTTAGTCAAAACATTCAAACAGCATAACACAACAAAGAGTGAATATATTTGCGCGATTGTGATCAGTTTTCAATTGTGTCACCAAAAATCCCCAACCATTGATTCCTATCGTCTCGTGAACCTCCCTCCTATACAGCTTAGACCAACAGCCAGAGACTTCATACATTGGTACCAATTCTTAGTCTGACCAATGAGTTCTTGAATGTTACTCATAATCCAATGAGAACTAGTAGTTATTGATAATTAGGTAACCTTTTAGTATAATTCAGATCTAACAGTCAACCAACACTACGAATCAACAAAACCATCCATTACGATTTAATAAACAATGACATATGATAAAATAACCGACTGTCAGAAGGTTAGCTAACAAATAAACCAATGAAATCACTTGAGAAAGATTTGACTAGCGACGAGCATCCTGTGCATCAATCTCAGACTAGCAACTTAGCTTTGAATGAAGTTCAAATAGAATTTATGATTCATTTTAAGAGACCAATTCAAAATTAAAGTCCTCTCAGTAACCTTATACACATTAGTGGAGTAGACAGACAATGACACACACCTATTGCTTGAGAGAAAACAATACTATCTGACTGCCCAAAACTCCGTAGGCGGTGTGGTGTTCGAACCCGTGACCCACTAGTTGAAAATCAACTCCCTGAACCAATGAGTCAAAACGACTGTAGAGTGTAATTAAAGAAAATTGGGTTCTCAATACCCGATTACTTTGCGAAAATAAATCCAGTTGAAGAATCATCAGCTTTAGAAACACCGTCCCACCCACCAAGGTTTGAGCAACCAGGTACTCGCATCGACAGCCGTCACACAACAGATGTGGCACATTGCCTACTACACGAATGTGTACAGGGTTCCTAAATGCATTTCGACTTTTTTGGAATTTATGATGCAGACTTCAATTACCTACAGAACACTAGTTTTCTACAATTTTGAAGTGAATGCCAAGGACCGTGAAAACGAGATCCGGACTTCTCAACAAGTAAAAAGTGTTATCATAGCAATCTTTGAAAAGTATTCACTTTCACAAAAACACATTTCAAATTTTACATGCAAGAAGAGTTAAAGTCACCAAATCTGGAAACCAAGCAGTTAAACGAATGCACCGAATGGCCGCAAATTTAGTCAAGCAGAAGAGCAGTTATAAATGAATTGGCAGCAAACTAAGAGATACTCATTCAATACTACGGAATACCGCAAACCTTTATCAGCCTCATTCAACAACCATATGAAGACGCCACATGCCAAGTAATTCACAATGGAAAGCTCAGTGATGCTTTCGAAGTGAAGACAGGAGTGAAACAAGGTTGCCTACTATCACCCATGATATTCCTGATTGTAGTCGACTGGATCATGCAACAAACAGTGAGGAGCAAGAAAAGGGGCATACGCTGGACCGCGGAAAAGAACCTAGAATATTTGGATTTCGCCAACGATGACCTGTGTCTAATGTCACACAAACTTGAAGATCTACAGGCGAAAACTAACAAGTTGGCAGAAGAGGCAGGACAGCGAAGACGGGACTTCAAGTGAATATAGAGAAGACAAGTGATGAAGATACCGCACCAACAACAACAACAAACACCAATCACCATCAATGGGAGAAACTTAAAGGAAGTAGCCTCCTTCACCTATCTAGGCAGCAGTTTCAACTACAGGCGGCACAGACGAGAACGTGAAAGTCAGGATCGGAAAAGCAAGACAGGCGTTCATTAGCCTGAAACCAGTGTGCAGATCTTCTGCACTCAGCATGTGGAACAAGATCCGGATTTTCAACACCA